AGAACTGTGCTGTATGACTTGCATGGCTCTGCCCACTACAACCATGTGCAGGATTGGAGGATGGCAGGGAGGATGGAAAATAATACAATGGCATATAATGAACATTTAATACTATTAATTTCGTTCCCTTTTTTTCAAAAAAAACAAAAAGCCTCTAAATTTCAAAAACATACTTATAGTAAATAGTTAGACTTTTTATATTCCATATATTTATTGAATGATAATGTACTATAGGATCTCTTATTAGATCAGCGGAGCTGTAGAATTCTTCGATGGGTCTAGACAATTTTAATTTCCCATTTGTTACATGGAGGGGCTGCTTGTTCATCCTGGCCGCCCAGCTAGCTTAGCCTTGAAATAACCACACAGAAACTGTATTCATTAAATCACGGCTTGGCCCATTAGCTCTACCTTCTTATTGGCTAACTCTTATATTAACTTAACCCATTTCTATTAATCTGTGTATTGCCACATGGCAGTGGCTTACCGGGTAAAATTCCCAGCATCTATCTCTAGTGGATCCATTGTGTATTTCCAACTCTGCCCTTCTTTTTCCCAGCATTCAGTTCTGTCTTCCCTGCGTACCTAAGTTCTGTCCTATCAACAGGCCCAAAGCAGTTTCTTTATTCATTAACCAATACAAGCAACACACAGAGGGGACTCCCATGTCACCCATTGTGCCTTGTCACCATCTCGTCCCCCCAGTAGTGCCAAAATTGTGACTCTAAATGATAGCCTCATCCATTCCAAATGCCATAACCTCATGTGAGGCCTTCCCCAGACTTCACCCAGAGGCAGCCATTCCCTCCCCTGAACCCCACCCCACTTTACCTGTGTGTGTCTGGTGTCACATTGTCCTTCATCCTTGGAGTACAGCGTAGTCAGTCTCTAAATAATGAGCCACTCTTTAGTTATTGGCTTTAATACTGCCGACTCTCTGACAAAGACAGGGTTCTTGTAGTCTTTATTACCTCAGGTCCTGAAGTTTATAGTCATCATAGAATTGATCTTGAAGGGGCTGGAGAGATGGCTCATCAGTTAACACTGGCTGCTCTTCTGGAGGTCCTGAGTTCAATTCTCAGCAACCACATGGTGGCTCACAACTGTCTGTAACTCCAGTTTCAGGGGATCTGAAACCCTCATACCACCAATGTCCATGAAATAAAATTTAAAAAAAGAAATTGATCTTGAAGGGTTTGACCTGAAATTTTCCAGACAAATTTCATGAATGTAGCATACTAGTCAAAAGGCAGAGGTGTAGTAGCCTCATTTATTACTGCCCCCTCCCACCCCACATCTGTCCTGATGCTTGGTTGGGACAGTGAGGAAACTAGGTTTTCATAGTTTTCTAAGAAAAGCAAAGGCAAATTTCCACAATCCAAAGGGATTTTGAATGAGATGTTCTAGCAGTGCTGACTGCCTTGCTGCCTTATTTGTTGTTTATCTCTTTTCTGTCCTGGAATTCACCAATTAGGTTAGGCTAGACAGCCAGCAAAACCCAGTAATCCTCTTGTCTCTACCTCCCCGGGACTGGAATTACCAACCACACTACCATGCCCCAGGGGTTTTTTTGGGGGGGGGCGTGTTCTGGGGATTGAACTCTGGTCATCATCTTTACAAAGTGAACAGTATGATTGAACTCTCATATACATGCATACATACATATATATATATATAAAATGTGTAACTAAACACATATGTTAACCACATTTAGATGTCTTTAAGGCATACACACACATATAAATAACAATCAGTCCTTAGAAATTGGGAATTTTATTCTAATTATTTTCATAGCAATAACGTAAAAACTTAGAATGTGTTTTTGTAGACTTTTTACTTTTTCTAATTTTATCTGTTTTAATCTGTATAAATTGAGTAAATTAAAAACCTAGGGTTTATCTGAAATAGCTCTGTGAGTTAGGTATCTTAAGACAAAATTGACATATTGGAAGGATTGTCCATGTATAAGATCTTGCTACCTGCGTATTGTAAGTCCTGGTCTCTGGCCTCCATCTTTGGAGGCTCCACCCCTGTGCCCGCCAAACCTTGACCCCTCCCCTGAGGAGGGCCAAGGCGGCCTGCCAAAACCAGGCAGCTTCCCGGTTATCCCCAAGAGCTCAGGAATCCCATTAAAACCTGGATATTCTTTAATTCAGCTTCTTGTGATTTGGCTTGATTGGGATTTTTGGCGTTGGCGGAGTGCTGGTGTTAACACGTATGACAGGTTTCCCTCCCTTTCCAAGCCACATATTCCCCCTTTTCCTTTGTTATGTGAAGCCATCTAGTATAATGTTGATGCAATAGTAGAAATGTTTTGTTGATCAGGCAGGAAACATTAATTCTCTCATCTTTGAGGTTTGTATTATGGATTTTTGTAGTTTCTCATAATCAAGTTTAGGAAGTTCTTGTATTTCTAGCTGTCTGAGAGTTCTTATGAATGGGTGTTGGACTAAATGGATTTTCTTTTGTATTTGTGAAAATATTTATGGCTGTAGTAAACTAATTGATTCCTGAGTGGTTATTAACCTCTAATTACTACAGTGAAGCCCATTTACAATTATTATCCTTTGTTATATTACTGAAATGGATTTAATTTTTCATCCATATTTGAATATTAGATACTGCTGTATAGCTTTGTTTTCTTGATTTTTCCTTATCTGTGTTTGGGATCAGTGTAACATTAACATTTGGTTAGGTAAGCATGTTCATGAAGAACTACCAGTAGCTAAGTTTGTACATTGGTAGCCAGTTCATGGCTTGCTACCTATACATGCTTTGAACCCAGCTTGTGTTGTAAGAGACCCTGTCTCAAAAAATAAACAAATCTCTAATAGCTACAAAACCTATCAACACAAAAACTAAAGAACAGTTTCTAATAAGGTCTATCTTTCCAACTACCAGTCACCAATTAGGAAAAGTGAATTTCTAACTAAGCAGAATTTATATATTAAAGCCCTAAAAACAGGGATAGATATCCTTGGATATTAGCAGGAATTTTAGAAACAAATCCTTAAAAAGCATGACTGAGAGATGTTGTCTAAAGAATACTGCATCTTATTCATCAGATAAGTCTAGTGAAGCATATCTGTACTCTCTTCCTTTTACATCCTTATAGAAAATTGAGCGGTGTGTTGTTTAAGGAGTAATGATAAGGAGGAAAGTCTGTATACTGTACACTGTCAGTACATATTAAATGTTTTTCTTAATATCTCCTTTCTATGGTTTATCTGTATAGCCCTGGCTGTCTTGGAACTCATTATGTAGACCAGGCTGGCCTCAAACTCACAGAGATCTGCTTGCCTCTGCCTTCCAAGAGCTGTGATAAGGTGTATGCCATCACACCCAGCTTTAAATTTCCTTAAAGATTTTATGTTATTATGTGTATGGGTGTTTTGCGTACACCTAGGTCTGTGTAACACATCTGTGCATTGTCTGTGAAAGACAGAAGGGGGCATCTGTAAAAAGAATGAGCAGGCTGTGTTACCGCCTGGATCCTGGCTAGCTTACCCCCAAAATAATTACATGGAAACTGTATTCATTTTAAACACTGCTTGGCCCATTAGTTTCAGCCTCTTATTGGCTAACTCTCACATCTTGATTAACCCATTTCTAAAAATCTGTGTAGCACCACGAGGTATTGGCTTACCGGGAAGGATCTTAACCTGTGTCCATCTTGGAGAGGAGAACTATAGCCTCTGACTGACTCTGCTTCCTTCTCCCAGCATTCTGTTCTGTCTACTCCACCCACCTATGTTCTGACCTATCAGGCCAGGCAGTTTCTTTATTAATTAGCCAATGAAAGCAATGGAAATACAGAAGACTCTCCTACATTAGGCATCATGTCTCTTGGAACTGGAGTTACATACTGTTGTGAGCCACCATAGGGTGCTAGGAGTGAAACCCTGGTTTCTGGGATAACACCCAGGGCTCTTAAGTGCTGAGCCTATTCTCCAGACCCTTAATATTTTTGATGCATTGTTGCTTGAAAATAGAAGTCCAATTCTATACCCTAAAAAGTAGAGTTCCAAAGCCCATCTAATGACATAGATGATTCCCACTGAATTTTAGAAAATAAATATTCAGAATTATATTCACAAAAAAAAATAAAAAAAAGAATTATATTCACAGTCTATGGTTGTATTCACCATGTCTCAGTTTTGACACAATTCCCAATTTTGTATTAAGGTATAGGCAAATGCAAATTCTAACAGTAATTCTAGAGAGTATGATTAGGAGCGTTTTGATGTTGTTGCTGTTGTTGTTGTTTATTCCCAATGTTTTACTATAAGCGTGGTTACTTTAAAAAGACATTGATTACATTGTGTTATTTATTGTTTGGCAATTTCATGAAAGTATATATTTTGATACTTGATGCATATGTTTTGATCATATTCAATCAAAATTCTCTCTCCCACTTCCCCCAGGACCAGTGTCTCCCATACTTCCTTTCCTCTCCCACCTTCATATCTTCTTTTTTTGATATACTTTTATTCTTTGAGAATTTCATACATGTATACCAGGTATTTTGATCATGTTCTCTCCCCACTCCTTTCTCCAATTTTCTCAGACCCTCCTCGACACATCCTCTCTCCCAGCTTCAATTTTTAATAACTCACTGAGTCCAATTACCGCTTATCATAAGTGTATGGGTGTGGGGCAAATTACTAGTGATGGCCACACACCCAAAGAAAAATAGCTCTCTCCCTCCACAACATGTTCCTCTCTAACTTCAGTATCATCTTCTGTTCCACCTCCTCCCATCTACTTGGTCCAGCTGGTGTTGCTTGCATGCACATGGGTATGAGGCCATACACCAGAGCATAGGCAACTTTCAAGTTATCATAATATGAAAGAGTGCTAATTTATACTGCTACAGTAATGGTGTCAACTCTCTTTGATCTGTAAGTGCAATCACCATGTTTCAAAAACTGTGACTAACTGCTATATTCTCTTACTGTTGTCTTAATGTTTTCTTTCTTTTTTTTAACCCTTTATCAAAGGTTGAATTAATAAAAGGGAATTTACAGAGTGTGGGACTTACACTTCGTCTTGTTCAGTCAACTGATGGATATGCTGGGCATGTCATAATTGAAACCGTGGCCCCAAACTCACCTGCTGCAATTGCAGATCTTCAGCGAGGAGATCGGCTCATTGCAATTGGAGGTAATCACACACTGTGAAGTATGACTTAGTGTGTACTTAGAGAAACTATAAAAGAGGTCGAGGGCTTTTCTGTCTTTCTTCTCCCTATATCTGGAACAAGCATTTGCTAGTTTTATAACAGAAAAGCATCATTATAAACAAAATTGTAAAATATACCTTAATACCCTTGTAAAATGTTTGCCAGGTTAGTCCTAATCTCTAAGTCTGTAACATAATTTATCTTGAAACCACTTTACTAGAACTTCTCTAATTTGCTCTCCCTTCTCACCTTCTCCTCTGTGCTTATTATTGAATGTAAAATTAAGAACAAGTTATCCCTTCTTGTACCTCTGTCACTAATGTGACTCTAAATATGGTGATATTAGCAGCACTCACATCTTGTTGTAGGACTAGAAAATTAGTAGGAGAGAGACTAATATTCCTTGCTTAAGAGGAAGAGTACATCCAATACTATTCTGAGGCTCAAATGCTAGTGATCTGTTAGTATGCTGTTATTCAGAATCCATCCCAAAACTGTGGTAAATATGTAACCTGCATACTGCATACCTTCCTGCTGGATTGTTGTAAATAATAAAAATAAAAATCGAGGCAAGTTATTTGCCTGAGTGTATGTACCTAACAGTAGAACTCATCTGTGCATAGCAGCACAGAATAATCCAGGCCTTTTCAGACTTCATAGTACCTGGCCCGCATGTTTTTTTTTTTGAACACATAAAACTGGATATAATTATTCTTTTAAGAATATTGTGTTCTTTCAGGCTAAGACAATAAAGTAGAGCGGGTCCTAATAAAAAGTAGTTATCCTTGGTTATAGTAGAGAAACTCTGCTTTGATTCAAATCCATCTTGACATTGAGATAATGAAAACAATTTAGTTACATACCTGGAGGTCAGTGAAGTAAGCATTTTCATGTGGAAATCCCTCTGATCGTGGCATGCACAGTGCCCTTCATACCACAGTCACCAAGCACTAGTATTTAGAAGTCATTCTGATTCAGAAAACTTGGTGTAGGGTCTAAGAATCTGCATTTCTCTCTACCTTTTTATTATTTGGTTTGTGTTTTGATTTTTTTGTTTTGTTTATTTGTTTTTCAAGATGGGGTTTCTCTGTGTAGCCCTGGCTGTCCTGGAGCTTGCTCTGTACACCAGACTGACTTTGAACTCAGAGCTACACCTTCTGCCCCAAATGCTGGTGTAAAGGCATGAACCACCACCATCTGCAGGAATCTGCATTTCTAACAAGCTTACCAGGTTGTTTTAGTGCTCTGGCTCATGGACACTTAGGACATAGAACAGCCATTACATAGCTGTCTATATAAATGTGAAAAGTTTGTCTCCTTCAGCCAAAACCATGGTTCAATATAAATGTTTTTGCATTAATACATATTCTGTTTGGGACTTACCTACAGGTTTATTTAATTATTTCTTTAACTTTTAAATGTGCCTTTTAAGTTCTGTTTTTAATTGCACAAACAGCAAACACCTATTATCCAAAATAAAAAGTCCAAGCCATATAAATATTTAGAAAGAAAAAGCAAAAATTACATTTTTAAGATATCCAACATTCATAAAAGTACAAACAAATTTTATTGATTGAAAAGTCAGGTATTATACACATTTGCTGCTAAAGTTTCAAACATAACAAAAAAACTGTATTTTTAATTTAATGTGTATGCATGTTTTATGTGCATGTATATCCATGCACCACATACATGTAGCATCTGCAAAAGCCAATAGAAGGAGTCACTTTCCTGGAACGAAAGATACAGGGGTTATGACCCACAATGTGGATATTAGGAATCAAACCCCATCCTCTGAAAGAGAAGCACTCCTAACTGCTGAAGCCATCTCTCTAGTGCCATAGAAACTGTTTTTTAGTGCCCTTCCCCATGTAAATAAATACATTCCTTTTCCCAACCATTGCACACAAATTCAAGTCCTACAGTATATTTTAGTAACTCTTAATTCTTTTAAAAGTCATAAACTTGTCATAAACTTTGCCCTATGTTAATTGATATTTCTTAAATAAATTAATTATAATTCATTTGAATTTACGATAGTTTTAATAATAGGAGAATGGTAGTAGTAGGAATAAGATTGGCAAAATGCTATGTTTAGGTTCAATAATAGAATTAATTTTGCTGCTTTCTAAGTTCATGAGCATGTTTCAAATATCCTGGAAGATATTTGAAATATCCTGAAAGAAAAATTCAGATTCCAGATGAGCAAACCCTGGTATAGTGACCACCTTCACAAAGCACCCAAGGTGAGATGAGGGCAAGTTTTCCCAAAGCACAAATAAAGAAGTGAGATTGGGGTGAAACTTTTGTGTACTTACTGGAGAGCACATTAGGTGACGCTTCATTTGTGCATGTGATAAGCTGCCATACTTCTGGGACATAGTATTTCTGGGTGAAAGTAGTCAAGTTATTAAGCTAACTGAGTCAGGAAGATCCCCGTGAGGAAGCTCACGGAAATTCAGAATTCCACTGGAAAACCTGGCAGCATAGGCATCAGAGCAGAGAAGGTCAGACGAGATGTTGCAGTTCAAGGCTGTTTCTGACTACAGCTGAGGCCAGTGGTCAGGAGTGGAAGATAGAACTGCACAGGCCAAGGGTCCAGAGCTCTGAGTTGGGATTGACAGCTCAAAGGACATGGAAGTCAGCTGTCTCCAGGAACGGGTTAAGAGGGCAGTAGCAAGTTGATTTGAGTCAGGACAGGATGATGTACTTTGTAATCAACTTGTTTACCTTGAAAGCATCTTACCTCTTCTCTTCCCTTCATAGAGAGGTTGATAATCACGTATATGGCTATTCAACAGGATCTGTGAAAGGGTCTGTTATTTATAGTATTTTGTTTCTTATATTTACTTCAGACATTGGTTTCTAAATTTGAACCATTTGCTTACAATTCCTGGAGTTATTTGAGAACTTTCTTCAGTAAAATGACTGCTTTCCATCATTCAAAGTGTGGTTTATCCCTTACTAAACCTGTTTAAGTAGGCCTCTGCTTACTTCAGCAATTCAACTGGGACATATTATTGTTGAAGCCAAGAGGGAACAGGAAGCTGCTAGGAATTAGCAGCTGCTCAGGATTTTTGTATCATCCAGGAAACAGTAGTTCCAGGCACCCTGTGCTGATCAATTCAAAATTTAAGTGAAATATTTTTTGAGGTTTCCTCTTCCATTTATTAAATAATCATGAGGTAAAGGCAGTGTAGGTAGTCTTATTTCAGTAATTTATTAAATAATCATGAGATAAAGACAGTGTAGGTAAGTCTTATTTCAGTAATTTGCATGTTTTCCCCTTTGAATCTTGGCCAGGTGTGAAAATCACATCCACACTGCAGGTGCTGAAGCTTATCAAGCAGGCTGGTGACCGCGTCCTAGTGTACTACCAAAGACCTGTTGGTCAGAGCAACCAAGGGGCCGTGCTGCAAGACAGTTTGGGCCAGTTAGAAGAAAACTTTTTGTCAAGTGCTTGCCAGCCAGGTTATGAAGAAGAAGCTGCTGGGTTGCCAGTGGATACTGAAAATAGAGACCTTGATTCGGAATTTGAAGACTTGGCAAGTGATGTCAGAGTACAAACAGAGTTCAAAGAGGAGGCACAGCCCTTAAGTCCCAGTCCCAAGCGCACTCCAACAACGCTTTCTATTAAACCCCTTGGCGCTATATCCCCAGTTTTAAATCGTAAATTAGTTTCAGGAATCCATCCACCACCACAAAAACTTCCATCTAAAGAAGGAAATAAACCATCAGCTCTTAAAACTTCAGAGGCCACAGAAGCAGCACCAGTGTCCAAACCCCAGGGATCCACTTTCAAACCACCTGTGCCACCACGACCACAAGTGAAAATTCCTTTGCCTTCCACTGACACTCCAACTCAGGCAGACCCAGATGCTGTTGAAAAGCCAGAGAAGGTGCTGCTCCCTCCTCCTCCTACAGAGAAACCTGCTGAAAAGCAAGTGAAGAGCGTGGATCATGGAGAAGATGGAGCAGCAGGTAAGCAGTCTTCAGCAAAGCAAGAAGTAGTAAAAGATGTTACTTCAGAAAGTTCTGGTCCTACTAAGGACCCTTCGGATGACCATCAGATGTGGGAATCATCAGAGGTTCTTTATCGTAATAAGGTAGGAAAGTGGTCAAGAACCAGAGCATCCTGTTTGTTTGACATAGAAGCCTGCCACAGGTACCTGAACATTGCACTGTGGTGCAGGGATCCTTTCAAGTTAGGAGGTCTCATCTGTTTGGGGCATGTTAGTTTAAAACTTGAAGAGGTGGCTTTAGGTTGCCTAGCTACATCAAACATGGAATACCTTTCAAAGTTCAGACTGGAAGCCCCGGCTCCTAAGGCCATGGTCACTAGAACTGCACTGCGCAGTCTGAGTATGCAAAAGGGCTTCAACGACAAGTTTTGTTTCGGTGACATTACTATTCATTTCAAATATTTGAAGGAAGGAGAACCAGACCACCACATAGTTCCTAACATAGAGAAAGAAAAAGAACTCCATTTGATTGAGGAAGTTTCATCACTCCCTAAAGAGGAACATTTTGTTGGACAGATGAGTTTGTCAGAAAATAAACATAGTTTCCAGGATACTCAGTTCCAAAACCCAACTTGGTGTGATTACTGTAAGAAAAAAGTCTGGACAAAAGCTGCTTCCCAGTGTATGTTCTGTGCTTATGTTTGTCATAAAAAATGTCAAGAAAAGTGTCTAGCTGAGACACCTCTTTGTGGAGCAACTGAGAGGCGAATAGACCGGACCTTGAAAAACCTCAGGTTGGAGGGACAGGAACCACTCATGGGCCTTCCTCCTCGTGTGGAGATGGAAGCTAATAAGTCAGTCCATAAAACAACTGGCTTGACAAGGCACATTATTAATACTAGCTCTCGTTTACTAAATTTGCGTCAAGTCTCTAAAGCTCGTGTTTCTGAACCAGGAACAGATCTTGTGGAACCATCACCAAAGCACACACCCAACACATCAGACAATGAAGGAAGTGACACAGAGGTGTGTGGTCCAAACAGTCCTTCCAAACGAGGGCACAGTGCAGGAATAAAGTTGGTGAGAAAGGAAGGTGGGCTGGATGACAGTGTTTTCATTGCAGTGAAAGAAATCGGCCGTGATCTGTATAGAGGCTTGCCAACAGAAGAAAGGATCCAAAAGCTAGAATTCATGCTGGATAAACTGCAGAATGAAATTGATCAGGAGTTGGAACACAATAATTCCCTTGTTAGAGAAGAAAAAGAAACAACTGATACAAGAAAAAAATCACTTCTTTCTGCTGCCTTGACTAAATCAGGTGAAAGACTACAAGCTCTGACACTCCTGATGATCCACTACAGGGCAGGCATTGAAGATATTGAGACCTTAGAGAGCCTGTCTTTAGACCAGCAGTCGAAAAAGGTAAACAAATACACAGATGATACGGAAGAAGACCTTGATAATGAAATAAGCCAACTGATCGACTCTCAGCCATTCAGTAGCATCTCGGATGACTTGTTTGGCCCATCAGAGTCTGTGTAGCAGACAAACTAAACTTTCAAGTGGTTGGGGACAAAATGCATCTGGTGTGCCACGGATACAGCCATGTTTCAGTTCTCTCGTGGTGCGCTTTGGCCTGCTTCTACAGTTGCTTGCTTGTATAAGAATGAAAGGTGGTTTTCCAGCAGAAACATAACGAGCTCACCAAACTGGTTGTTTTGGATTGTGTTTATTCTTATTGGTTTGGGGGTTTATACTGGGAATTGGGTTTTATTAATTTATTTTTAACCTTTTCTAATTATGTAAGCTAACTTTGTGTTTATGTATTGTGATGTCTCACTGTCCTTTTTTTTCTTTCCTCCTTGTTATTGAATTAATGTTAAGTAAGATCCTGTCCAGATTCCTGAAATATTTTCATTCTCATTCATCACGGTTATAACAGAAAATTTGTTGCATGCCTAAATTGACAGCAGTAATCACTGAGGGAACAGAATTGAATCTTCTTTCTTCTATGTTTTGAGGTTTGTCAGCCGTACTGCGTGAGGTTTTGTTATATGGGGTTGGGAGGATTTCTGTTTTGTTTTATTTTGTTTTGTTGTTGCTGCCAAATACAAACGAAAGCAAACCGTACAGCTTTAAAATGTTATGCTGATTTAGTTTTTTTTACATATATTGCTTGCTTCTTATGCTTCTGTGATATTTTTTAAAGCTTTTATGCAGTTGAAGTATAGTAAAATTATAGTAATTAGCTAGAAGAAGTTGCATTGAATAGAGGATAAATGCAAAATCTAGTTGGTGAAGAATTTTGTAGAGAGGATAACAAGATTTTATTACTGAAGAACAGTTAACAGTAGGATTTTGATATATCTTTCAAATGTTATTGCTTTTTTTTAAAATGGAAGTTATGAACATTCATGATTTTTCATCTTTGGTTCTTTCATAGGAAATAAAGCATGTATAAGGATATTTAAAATTTCACAGTACTTGTTCAGAAAATGGCTGCATTGATAACTGGCTTCGTTTGTAGGACTATGCTGTGGAGGGCAGTTATACAGAATATGTTTACTACATACATCCTTTGGTGTCTGTAGCCTTAAAGGAATGTCAATCATTCTGAATTCTTTAATAATTCAGACCATCATCATTCATTGTAAAGAAAAATAAAAATAGACAGAATATAGGATTTGGGACTAGTTCTCTAAAAATGAAGGCCTGCTGTGGTACTGGGTTCATCTAATGGATACTAATAACACACAACTGAGAAATGTGGGAGCTTGACCCCTATTGATGCATCTTTAAAAGTCCGAGCCTGTTATACCTGTAGAATAGAAAAGCGTTTTTCCCTTTTACAATAACACTATGATAACACATAAACCAACTTAATTTAAAACTATGGAACTGCTCTCTGGCTGCAGGGAAATTTGTAGTGTGATATAGTAAAGAGAATGGTCCAGTCTGTAGTTCAAACTCCAACAGGAGTTTAAGGCCAAGCTCTTGAGTGAGCGCTGCAGCATAGGCAGGTCACAGAGGGTCACACAGCTTCTCTATCTCCGAAGGTACCTACTCTACCTCACGGGGCTGTTGTGAGACAAACAGGAGCATAACTGCAGCAGCGCTTTGAGCAGTAAAAAGCTGTGAACATAAAAGGTATTACTTACATGAGAAAAGCATTGTTGAGTGTGGAAGGTTATTCCAGCTTTAAATTCAATAGCTAACTCTCTTGTTATTAAGTGAACACTAGGACACAGACTTTCCTATCTGTGTGATCCCCACCCCATCCCTGCTTTCCACAACAAATCCCAGAAGCTAAAATGTTGCTCCACATCTTATGCTTGAAGCAATCTGCCTGATGTATAGCCATGTTTCATCTTGTAAACAGTAACTTGCCATTGCTACCTGAAGGTGACGCGTCTGTAAGTGGCTGGTATGTATACAGATAAATCATGAAAGTTTTAGCGATGCCCAAGCATGCTCCTGCACTGACTTATTTGAAAGAGCTATAGAAGTAATGCAAAGCTTTAGTTCTAAGAACCTACTCATGCTTCAAAGTATTTATCTCTGCAGATCCACAATCATGGAAAGCTCGACAGTGCTGCTAATGATGTTTGTAAAATAGACCTTTAATGCCGTGCAATATTTTTCTATTAGGAGAGACAGTAGAGGCATCACAGTTGTACTTTAGAGCAGGGAAGGAGGGGAAACTCCAAATACCCTAGAGCATGGTAAGGGATAAGGCTTCAGTTTAAAAGGTTGTATTATATTACATTACTCATGTAATCTTGCTGCCATGCTATGTTATCAATAGCTAAAATAATAATAAAGACTACCACGTAAAATAAGAATATCTTCATTTGATGGCATCTGAAAACAAGGTGATTGGTTCATCTCTGTGGCATTATACCTGATGTAATTGGCCATGCAGACAAACTAACAATCCATTTTTACTAAACAAGTTTGCAAAAGCATTCAGACTTTAACTGTTGCTACCTTACCTTTTGAAACAGATGTATGGATTTTTTTCTAATGCTATAATATGTGGTAATAGCATAATGAGACCTGTCTCAGGAAAGAAAAATTGGACTATTTAAAGTGTGTTCTCTTCATTGGTATTTAGATGAATGACTGGGTTAGACAAAATGAACAACATCTTAGTATTTTGCAATCACAATATGTATGTTTCTTTTTTATTTATTGTGTTGGCTTTTTAAGACAGTCTTTCTCTATAGGTCTGGCTGTCCTGGAACTCATTGTATAGATCAGGGTGGCCTCGAACTCAACAGATATCTGCCTGCCTCTGCCTCTGGAGTGCTGAGATTAAAGGCATGCACCACCACATCCAGCTGTGCTATATTTCTTAGTATCAAAGTTTATTCAACAATACTAGAACTTATTGGGTAGATACTTTCTCATTCTAAGAAAAAGAACAGCCTAAAACTTTGAAAGTAAAATCTATCTAAAAAAAATTTAAAACATTTTGAATATATTTTATTGTAATAGTAAGAAAATAGAGTTTAAATTTTTAAGTTCTCTAAAGTAAGTTTGAAATCACTTCAATTTTTAAAAGATGCATTAATTTCTAAATTGAGGTGATAGTTTTCCTTATCCCCTCCCTCCAAAAAAAGCAAAGAACGGTGGAAAAGGGGATTACCTTCATCCTTTTTGATTCCTTTATGTTCCTTAAGATCTGAGTAAAACATCATGCCACCCTAATCCTGGAGCCACCCTAATCCTGGAACCTACCATGTCTACCCCATTCACAATGATCCTAATTTCTAGATCTTCCAGAGCCTGTTCCGTCAGATGGCTTGATATTACAGCTCTCTTCATCAGATAATTTATCTGTTCACAGCAATTAGAATAATTTTTGGGCAGCTCACTGTTTTTCCACACTGCTAGGCTGTAACAAGTCCTATGTTTCATTTAAAACAAACTGAAAAGGCAAAGAGGATGGTTCACCCTCGCCTGGTGGGGTTCTTGCCTGATGCCTGCAAATAATTAAATATCTACAGCCAGAACAATGTGTATGTATTTTATTCCAGCAACAATGTTGATGAAATGGTTTATGAAAGAATACAGGCAGGCACAGAACAGTGTTCAAGAAGATTTATTAAGTAGCCTAGCTAAAGTGCAACTAGGACAGAGAGATACACTTAGCAGTCAAAAGAAGTTAAGTATCCATTGCTACCTCACTAAGATTTGTGAGTCTGAATTACCAAGTACAAACAAAAGCAACCTCTACTTTGTAAAAATGTTCAGAGGTATAAGTTCTTTTTCTGGAACATGCACAGTATTTTTAAACACTCTATTTTCAGTCTTGTGTACCCAGGATATTAGTCATATAAATGTATTTACCTTCCCCTTGGAAACAAGTTCTCTTTTGCTCTCTAAAAAGTTCTAAATGTTTTATCTTTTCCCTGGAGTTGAGTAACTGGCATGCCTTTGCTAGTCATCTTTGATGACCCCTCAGAAGCAGAAACAACACCAGCATCAATTATTGCATATGGTACTGTGGGCAAGGAGAACTACAAGCCCTCTCTAACCACAATACTTCTAAAGCGCAAGTCCCACCTTTTGATTTTAGTCACGTGAGAGTTCCTCTCCAGCCATCTTTCAGAGCTGCAGACCTTGTGACTATCCAGCAGTTTAATGAATAGGAACCTGTTTCCCTCAAACACATGACTTCAAATCACCAAGGTCCCACAGAAAGATCCATAAAGCAAAAGAAGTATTAGCCACATCCTAACGAATGTGTAATAGCCAATAAGGTTGAGGGGTTGTTGTCCTAAAGTTCTCTTAATGTCCAAGGTCACACAAACACAATTCAGATTAACAAAACTGACAGGTTTTTTTTTTTTTTAACAACTGCAGAGTTGACATGTACTATTGGAGACATATTCCACACTGTGTTTATATTCTGGGAGGCTGTAATCTCATACAAAGCACTACAGATAAGGCTTACTAATGCTGGCACACGGAAAAGGTACATCAGTGTTGGCATGCTTAGAAAAACTATTCTACTCCACACACAAGATGACACAGTAACATATACACATTTGTAGATGGGTTTCCTGCTCCAGAAAGGGAAAGTGCCCTGATCACCCTATTATCCTTCTTAACATAATAATGTTAGACATGGACAATTTCATTCCTTCATCCTTGTTTGAAATTCATTTCTACATTGATAGGAACAACTTTTAGGAGTCTAAAAAATAAAAGCAACTCAAAATTAACAAATCTCTAGAAAAACACTTGGATGACCTACAAGTAGATACAGATGTGATAGTCTGATTGTTCACATAGCAGCTCGATAGCCTTTGTTTCCTTTCCCAAAACAGGAACTAAGTTTGGTAAATCACACCATGCTTAACCTTGCCAGTGTAGAAATGCATACTTTATTTTCACCCAGTAAGACCATCAAGTCTATATCTTTCAAAGAAAGCAACATTTGAGTTCTTTTCTCTACTTTCAGGACATTTACTTTCACCCCTTGTTGGCTTTAATGATTGTTGCCAATGATAGGACACAGAAAACAGAATTTACAACTATCCATTTCCAGGCAGGTGGTTATAACAGAATACTAATGCCAGCAAAGGTTTAAGAATAAGTCTGAAAGATGGCTGACACAATTTCTTGTCCTCTGTGCTTGAAATGACTAGCTTTTAACTCAAAAACATTGATACTAATTACAAGTTAAATAGCAACGCATTCAGTGTTGCTACGTAACAACGCTGTCTTGCATGATTGTTTCTCAGACCTCTAGTTTCTTGTTGGAGAGTCTCAGATAATGTGTGCTTTAAACACTCATTACCAGTATTCAGAAAAAAATACAAGATTTTTTTTTGTCCAAGTGTTCGTGAATGTAAGTTAAAAAATTATATTTGATTTGGATTCAAATATTTATACATTTACAATATACCTATTTCGTCAAAATATATTGTATAATATTTAATAAAACCAAATACATAAAATAAAGTTTTCAACACTATTTATACAAACCCCTAGAAAAGCTGCTTTTTCTTTATAAGGCTGTTGGCAGTCGGTCATAGCCATGGAAAAGAAAGTATCACCTTTGGTTGTTTTACTCTTTGCCAGGAATGGATGATGTGATCAAGACAGCTCTGCACGAGTCATTTCACTGGAAACACTGATACACACTTAAGGACTTGGCAACTTAGAGGGTCTCAGTCACTTTCAGATTCTTCATCCTCACCGATGGGATATGACTGGACATTATTCTGAGTGTACATTTTTGTTTTAATGGGGCAGTTGTGGTCCATGAGGATAGCCTGAAAGCAAAATGCAAGTGCATGAGCGTCTCACTTTGTAAAGATATGATGGTTTTAACCCACTGCTGTTAATTGTTATTATTTTGAAAGCAATTGCCATTTCTTGACCTTCAAATCTCAAATTCTCCACTTATTGAAAAGTTTTAGGTAATAGGCAAGAAGTAGTCCTTGGGATGTGTTCATTGTACCTGTTGTAGGTGGAAGTTGAGCTTTGTGAAACAAAAGATGGGTGGATTGGGTTCAATAAAAGTTAAACTGAGTCCTGTAAGGGTTGGAAGCTGGAGACTGCATTACAACTTCCATTTTATAGACTGCCACTACAGGGAACTTCATGAAGATCTTTGAAGGGAACTCTTGTAAGAAATAGAGGGAATCGGAACCTAAATCCACTCTTACTCAGTTGTGGCTCTTGTTCTGATGGTAACCACTTACACAGATTGTCTTACAATTTGTTAGACTACATTTTGCCATGGCTCTTTAGTTTCCCAGGTCAAACATCCTAGGGCTTTGTTCACAGATGTGATGCTCAGACCATCTCTCTCCAGACCCTAGCTGCCCTCTTTTTTAGCACAAATGTATATGTAAACGTCCTTTGCCCATAACTGTAAAAGGAAAAATATCCACAAAAGCGATGCTTTCTTTCCAAAGCACCCTCAGCAAGAAGTACTGGAGTCATTATTCCTGCCCACCGTGGGCCAAGCCTGACATCCTGTCAGGAACATGAGTACAAGTAGATGAAAGCCTTAGCTTCACAGTAAGCCTAGGTGAGAAGTTGAGAAAGTAGGCACACAGGCTTAAAGAACTTCACCAATGGATATTCACCTCCCAGCCACTACAGCTGGTCAAGTCCTTTATGTAGAACAGTGTATTTGCATAGACTATATTCTCCATGTATATGTCAGTTCAACATATCCAACAATACAATGCAAATGTGTAGTATAACTAAGGGATGGTTTTTTAATGTGCAATTAGTACAGATAATTGTTTTTTAGACACTTTGGCTTCACATTTGTCGAGTCTACAGATCAGAACTTGTGGGTGCAGACAGCAACAGTGTGGCATAATGGTGCAAGAGGCTCAGGCAGCTCCAAGACAAATTCCAGTTTTTAAGAATCACTCAGCAGCTGGAGAAGTGCAGTGGGAGTCTGTACAGACCAAATGAATCAGGTATGTCTTAGCAGTCTCCCTCCTTTATAGGAACCATTCCCCCAAGAAGTAAGTGTGTGTGTGTGTTTGCACACTCACGTGTGTGCAGTCTGCAAATCTAAGTGAATTAAAGTGTTCTGAGCCTGCCTGTGGCAGTCTATCTTGGTGTCTGTTCGTTATCCCCAGCTCTTGTCCTGCAGATGTGATAAGACGCCACTCAGTGCTTAACCCTTTTCTCATTTCCCTAGAGATTCTCAAGTGATCAGATGTGTGACACAAAGATAAGGTCTTATGTGACCCTAGTCAGGCTGTCATCTCAAGCCGCCAGCTTCAAACTTTGCTCCCCTTCCAATTATGCTGCTTGCTGGGTGAATTGATAGTTGTGCTTAAAGGATTTGATTATTAAAATAGTTGCGGTAACAGACATTGCATTTTGAACCATTCTCCCTGTGTTACACAAAGGTTTAGCCTTTGATAGCTGAAGGTAATCTCTCCAGATTGTGTGCCAGAGGTCACTGTAGAGATGGTCTGGGGGCAGTGGAGCAGGTTAAAAGTGAAATCCCAGGTTCCTACCTTCACAGTGACTGTGCTATCAACAACCTTCAGAGCACTGCCTTGGTTACAATACATGGTGTAAGACTGTAGCAGTTATCAGCTGACATGGATTTCTAGGGCACCTACTGTATTTCTGACCTTACCCTAAAGGTCCTGTACCAGTGACAACTCTAGAGGTATGCACAGGTTCCCCAGGGATGGAGGACTCACTGGAGCCTACGGCTTAGCAAATGTTCTTCAGAGGAGATGGGAGCTTAAGTGAATCCTGAAAGACGGGAAGATTTGCAGAAGACAGGCTTGAATGAGCAAATCATAGGTTATAGAGGGTAGTAGGTAAAGCACTAAATCACCATGGCCAGGAGGTCTTAGGAGGCAATGGAGACAGCAGTTGGAAAGCACCACCAAAGCCAGGAGCACCAGGCACAAGCCTTGATCTTTACTTGGTCCACAGGCAGCATTGCCCTCTTCACGACCACCATCATCTCTGCACTCACCATTCACTTCTATAGGTAACCTTGAGAACTCCAGGACTGGAACACAGAATGTATGCTCAATAAAAACTGTTCTGGGAGTTGCTGGATGTGGTTGCACATACCTTTCATCTCAGCACTCAGGATGCAAGGCAGATGGATCTCTAAGTTTGAGGCCAGCCTGATCTAGAGTTCTAGACCAGCCAGGATCCTGTCTTAAAAAGCTGTACTTGGATTAGGGAGATATCTTAATGGGTAAAGAAATGTTTGCCTCGCAAGCATGAGGACCTGAGTTCAGTCTCTAAAACCCACATTTTAAAAACTCCAGTGTGATGGTGTACTCTTGTTATCCCTGCATTAGAGAAATGAAACAGCCAACAAGATTTGGTGAGCTCTAGGCCAGCAGGAAACTCAAAAACCAAGGTAGACACAGATCCTGAGGAACAACATCCAAAGTTGTCCTTGGGCCTCTATATGCATGGATTACTTGAACATGTACACTTTGTGCTCACCCACAGATATACAGCAATGTACTGCAGAGTTCATTCCAATGATTATTTCTAGCATGAAGGTACGGGTAATCAGAACTTTTCAATACAGCTGATAGCCTGTGCGTTTCAGGCAGCTTTTTTTCATGAATATTGTTTCGACATCTACAACCTAGCTTCATGTCTTCTCCCAAGATTCTTACTGGGCAGTAGTTTTACTTTTTAAAAACTACATAGTTAAATATGCCAGATAGTGTGCCGTGAAAAAAGAAGTACACAGCATTGAGCAGGTAACACAAGTCCATGAGGGACTGGTGCCCAGTGGCCCATGAAACTGGCGGGATTTAGGCTAGCACTCAACACACCACAGGGGAGCAGAAGTGGAGAGAAGAGGGATTGGCACCAAAGGCACAGCAAAGCCTAGATATATCCAAGCCTCTGCCAGATACCTTACTCCCATCACTGTACACAAAGCAAAGCTGGGGTCTCCGAGGTGGGGGGAAAAACAGACCAAATGAAGTAGAAAAGTAACAAAAATTCAGTGCTGGGCTGGTGAATCAGTAAATGCACTTAGAAGGTGGGCGCTCCAATCTCAGACTTGAGAACATTCCAGTAGAAACATTCTGTTTTTCTTAACTAGAAAAAAAGCAATTCACTATGTACACTGTGTAAGTGCCCAGAAAAGGGACAGGTGTCTACAAGTAGATGATAATGTACACTCCATGTATATTCCCATCTAGCCCATGGACAAGAATCCTTTTTAAGTGTATTTTATGTGTTATGGAGTGCTGTGCATGCATGTGTGTGTGTAGACTTTCACATGTGTGGGGTACGTGTGTATGCATGCACTTGTAAAGACAAGAAGTTGACATCAGGTATCTTCATGCTTCATTTCATGTATTGAGGAAGGGTCTCTCATTTGAACCCAGAGCTTGCCAATTTGGCTAGTGTAGCCAGCCAGGTTGCTCCAGGGATCCTCTGCTCTGTTTTCCTCGCTGAGGTTACAGGTGGGCCACCACATCTGCCTGACATTTACATAAGTGCTGGGAATATGAACTTGGATCCTCTTGTGGCAAGCAGTTTTATCGATTGAACTATCTCCTCAGCACTGAACTGGGGTCTAAGCTAGAAAGACCTTACACACCTTATACACTTAAAGGTGTCTGCTATCCATAGACCACTTCCTTTCCTGGCCTAGCAACAAAAACTTAATAAGACTAAAAGGCATCCTACCTTTTAAAAATAATTCTTTAAACTTGAAAACCAAAACCTATCTCAGAACTCAGCTAATCTTCCTGGGTATTTGAGAAGTCAGAGTCCTGTGTCATTGTCTTATTATGGGTGTGTTCCTCAAATGGCAGTGTTGATAAGCCTTACATTTTACAGAGACTGAGCAACAGGAGGACTTTCCCCTTTGTCTTTATCAGAACATTATTTTTTTTTTAAAAAAAAAACTATGGATGGAATAAAAGCTGTGGTGCTCACAACCAATTCACAGCCTGCTATGACTTATAAGCCTACGAAACACAGCGGCATAGGTGGCTCTCACACACGACTGCAGAAAGTACTTAACGAAAGAATATTTTGCTTGGGGTGGAATGCCTTCTGGTCCCCATGTCTCTGACACTTGGTGGCTCATGATCTTGTAGCTCAGCACATGCGTGTGCTGAGTGAGTGGTGATCTATTCCCCTTCATGGCACACGCCCTGCCACACTCCCCCTTGTCATTAGAGGCTGTCGGCTTCCACCCACTCTTCAACTTTTCTTGCACAATCAACAAACATCACCTGCTGGGCACCATCACAGATGTTACCACTGCCAGTCAAATGGCATTCCTCCAATTACGGGCATTAGTTATAGACAGAGAAATGTACCTCGTAAGACTTAATGATTTATTTCAATGGGCACTGGTTAAGAATTTTGACATTTTATAGTGAAGTGACCCTGAAACCTGTCATTCTTACTGCTTTGCCTTTCAAAATTGTCTCCTCCACTTCCTTCAGTATTTTTTAAAGATGAACTAAAGCACTGGTTTAAGTGAAGAAAAAACTGGTTTTCTACCACCATTTTTCAAAACTGTGGTGACTGGCTAGACAAATGCTTCTCACCTCCTACCATGCTTCATTTCCTCTACTAGCGCATGCAGGAAGCCACAGATAGATAGCACAACAGCCACTAACGTCTGCTGTCTTGGTGCTGGTCGCCCACCCAGCAGAATCTGGATAGCGAAAGGAAGCTCTTGCCTTGAAGAGCAAAGATGTTTGGGTGCTACCGGGTGAGCAGAGTAGAACAGTGCTTTCAATGCAGCAGGAACGGTGCATGGGTGAGCCTGGGGACAGTCACTCCTGTGAGGAGTTACCATTTCCCAGTGCAGTGGAGAAGACTGGGGAGCCAGTGCAGTTGCCCTCAGGCCCATGCCAGCCCTTCACGATCCCTAAGAGTCTTAACTGTCTCCCGGGTGACAGAAACATTTACTGATAATTCAATTTCTTTAGTCAAAAAGGTTTGGGAGTAACCGTCATTCAGCCTTAATCAAATTATTGATAATGTGGCCACAGAAAGACAGGTTTCCAGCGCTGTGTGTGGAGTCTTCTATCCCCTCTGAAGGATATGGGCTCAGGTCAGCAAACAGAGGTGCCACAGTGATGCCCACAACCAGGGTAGAAGCAAGAAGTCAGTGAAGGAGCCATGCTTTCACCCAGGGATCTCTACATCACCCCCTCCTTTCCTACGAGTGTAGAGCATTTTATGTTTTAACAAATAAAGCTTGCCTGAAGATCAGAGTACAGAACCAAGCCACTAGAGGCCAGGCAACAATGGTACATACCTTTAATCCCAGGACTCGGGAGACAGAGGCAGATGGATCTCTGTGAGTTCAAAGCCACACTGGGCTACACAAGATTGATCCAGTCTAAAAGAGAAACAGTCAAGCAGTGGTGGCTCACACCTTTAATCCCAGCACCAGAAAGGCTGAGATGGGAAGTGATATGGCTGGGAGGAGAAACGAGATCAGATGCAGTCTGAGGATGAGTAGAGACAGGATCGCCCCTTTAGTCTGAGGATTCGGGAGAGGTAAAAGGTTTCTCTAGCAGCTGGTTGCACTGCTTCTCTGATCTTTCCTCTTTCACCCCCTAATATCTGACTCTGGATTTTTATTAAGAATGATTAGAATTCATGCTACATGGGAGCCATCCATGAGAAACTAGTCTCTAGTCAAAGCCTGTATAGTTCTGGGCACAAAGTCAGTGGCTAGAGATCGATGTATTTTTAAGCTACAGTAAATGGATAGGTGGATGTGAAATGCCTCAGACAAACATAGGTTATACAATCTAAATTTTGGTTCTGTCTTTAAATTTGCTTTTGGAGGAAACCATCAAGAGTCGTTCAAGAAATGATAAAATACTAAGACCTGTTCTTGTCAGAAAGCTGGGTTTAGTGGCACAGGCCTGTCACGCCAGCGGCTCCTGGACTGAAGCAGGAAGGATCCTAACTTCCCAGCCTGTCTTGTCCCCTACAGAGTAAACTCAAGGCCAGCCTGGGCAACTTAATGAGTCCCTATCTCAAGATGAAACATTTTTAAACATAGAAAGAGGGCTAGAAATGAAACACAAAAGTACAGTGCTTGGCCTGGTGCACACAGAGCCCCAGATTCAATCGACAATATCGGAGAAAGAAAACCTACCGAAATCTCTTCTCATCCATTCCAAAAGAACATGACAAAGAAGCCTTATATTTGCCCCCAGGCACAACACTACCACCTCCCATGGGCTTCTCCTTCATCCCTAGTCCAGACAGTCTCCTTTCAGCTAAACAATACCAGCATCTGATACTTTAGTCTGGAGCCCCCCTGCCAGGACAGACGATGAGAGGGCATGAGAATTACACACCTCCCACTTCAGATTTAGAGCCAATAATTTGAACTTGTTTGAAAAAGAAGCACATTTATTCTCTATAGCTTGACCATGGCCATGATTCTAACCACGAAGATAAGAACTAAATAGTTCTTTGCGCTCACGTGTGTGCCCCAGGGTGTAAATATGACAATCTTTCACAAAGACTAAAGACATTTCCAGACTCTTATACTGGACCAAGATACCAACTATCGCTAAATGCTGTAAGGATAGAAGAAAAGCAACTGGAACCACATCCTAGGAAGCAGGAGGATTTTCAAGAACCATAACCAATGAGATTGAATTATCCCAGGGTTATATTTAATTGGCAAGAATTATACAATGTTAATCCAAATACAAAAATTATTCTTATTCTTCAAATTCATGAACATGAAGCTTAAAAGCAATAACTGTGAAAATAATACGAATGAAAGTAGTTACTGTGTTAGTGACTGAAAAGGAACTGTTACTGCTTCCGCTTGGGGCCTTCTATTGGAAACGAGCAGAAATGTAGTTTAGAATTTCTATGCAGAAACTATCCAGATAGCCATACCAAAACTATCAAAAAAAAAAAACCCAAACAGCTTTCTTACCATTTTTTCTTCCTTAGCAGGTGGACTTCGAAGAAAAAAGCAGAGTGGAGCAAAAACAATATCAATTATCCCGATAATTGTCATGAGCCAAGGAAAGCCAATTGCCTTTGCAATGGCACCACCAGCAGAAGGACCTTTGAGAAAACAGAAATTAGCACTTTCTCCAAATGTCTTATTGCAAGAAAATGTAAAGATTTCTTTATTTCTACAAGGTTTTATCTGTCCTGCATTAAGATAAAAGGTATCTTGAAAGCCAGCATATTCTTACCGATAGCATAGCCCATACAAAAGGCCACATCCGCAATGGCATATACGCTTCCATAAACAGACACGTGCCGTAGGTCCACCAGGTAGCCCATGATAGGCATCATGGAGGAATCCACCATCCCTGTGGATAGGCAAGGAACAGCGTATGGAAAAGTGATATAAACCAGATACAAGCTGAATGCTAGGGACTGTGTCCTGAGCTCAGTCCACTGCCAGCTCTTTCCTTCTGTCATTGCTACTTGTTCATCTTTGCCAGACTCCTGACACAGATAGGAAGCAGAAGGGTTCAGAGAGAGGAGTGGAATTCCGGATTCGGAGTCTTTATTAGGCCACTGTTTGTAGGCTGTCTGATACTACCTTATAATCTCTTGTAACGGCTCATCTTTTTGGTAAAGGGAAGGACCCAATCCTCTGGCAACTCACCTATTACTATTCTCCAGGTGTGGTATATTTTTTTACAGGCCACTGGAACTTGGCCTCCTAGGTTATGCCTTCCTGATCCACTTTTTTCTCAATCACTTTTCCCTTGCCAGTTAGCACACATACATCTACCAGCCAACCTCTTTCCAGCCTGCCTCCAACATCAGGCCTTAGACCACGAGAGTTACCAAATTGTAAAGTGCCTGTGTACTAGAACTCAGTGGAGGGTGAAAGGGCTTCTATTCCTGCTCAGAAAACTAAAACCTAAAGAGTTTGGATCATTAGTTGGCTACAACCAACAACAAAGACCAGTGTGGCAAGCTGGGCCTCTTGACTAGCAAAGGGACAAGTATCAGAAAGAGCACATGAGTTCAAGTTCTGGGTGCAAATCCTAGCTGAATGAGCATGGTCATACCTAGCCTCTGAGCATTTATCCTCCTGTCTACATGGGGTGCTTTGGAAGCGGTTATGATGACTGACTGTGGTGAACTGGTGCCCGTGAGCCCATGCCGAGGGGCTGGCCCACAACGGTAGGTGGATGGGAGCAATGGCCTTGCTTTGTTTACTGTTTCCTGATCATCTGGTGTGTGCAGCCTGCTACAGAGAAAGAGTGAAGTAAAACCTAAGAGGCGGATGGATATTAAGCAAAGAGTTGAAGAACAAATTACAACAGGACTGGTGTGTAGGCCCATGGGGAGACATAAGATGCCAGGGACACCCAACCTCCTCTAGAGGGTCGAGAGATTTCCCGGGAACTCATTCTTTCTGCCGACACTACAGTGTAACAGATTTGGCCTTTATTTTTATCATGATGATCGGTATTTATAAATGAGAAACAAAAGCATATCATTAGTCAAGACTTACCCTAATGTTTTATTTTCCTTTGCCTCTGAAAATCCCTGCAGTGCACAGCATGGTACCTCATTAGCCTGCATTTTCTTTACCAAGCCTCAGAAGCAAAGCACATGGGAAGGTCTGGTCTCAGATTCTAACTGAACAGATCAGGAGGCATGTGTTTGCTAGCACACAGCCCTGAAGCATCAGTTTGCTTCTGCGAACACCACCTGATTCTCAACAGGAATCTCCATGCATCTGGTTGTTCCTAAGCTGACCCCATGGCAGCCTCCACATCATCTTCTGGAAATCTGAGCTTTGGAACCTAACGACAGTCTGTTCACTCTTCAAGAAGAGAATCTAGGCTAGAGAGGAGGCGGTTCCAAATTGAGGCACAAGGTCCATGTGACTTACCAATTGCAAAACCAACTCCAAAGTTGGGAGCGATGAGTCCATAGATATTTTTCGCAAAAGGAATCTGTAAGAGGAAGTTAATGTGCTAAAATAAAAGATATTGACGCTAACAAATCATCTTTTATCAAAAAAAAAAGCCTAAAAATACCTTTTACATAGGAATGAGAACAGAGAAAGGAAGGGGGTTGTCATCCTTACCTTTAAATCCAAAGCCTACAGTGAGGGTGTGGCTCAGTGGTAAAGCTCTTGCCTACCGTGCATGACACACTGGGATCAATCTCCAGTGCAATCAATCAATAAATATATGTCAAAACCCAAAATGTAAATTCTGACTGCTGTGAAAACTTAAGTACATGGCTCCTCTGAAGGGCGGTTGTGTCCACCCTCAGCTTTATCACAGAGAAGACAACCATGTTTCCGGAGATATTGGCCACTAAGATACGTCTCTTCAGGAGTAATCTTGCTATTGTTCAGAGTAGCTGCCATAAAGTATTTAAGACATTGTCATGTTTGATGGTTCATGGGTAAACCCAGCATGTGCAAGAATGAGGCAGAGAAGACTGTCGTCAGTTCTAGGCCAGCCTGGGCTACATACGAGACCTTAAGAGAAAAAAAAACTACAAAAAATAAAAACAATAATAGAAAAATAACTTGGCAAACTACATAATAAAACAGTTTAAATAACATCTGACCTAAAATTACATAATATACCCACTGGAATCTTTCCAGAAATGTGTGAAATGACCTTGAAAAGTTCAACTTTTAAAATGAAAAACATGAAAATGAAGAACATAATGAAACCAAATATTAGCAAACAAACTGTTATAAAATATTGCCTAGCAAGTCTCATCCAAAACAAGAGTTTCAGTCCCATGTGCTCCCAGCCCCCGACTGCCTGTCAAATGCAGTCTTTCACTCACACATAAAATGCTGATTCCAACAATTATCATTCCCAGAAGAGCACAAAGCCACCTATCAAAAGAAAAAGCACATCAATAAACGAACACTTACAGTGTTTTTCCCAAGACACATCTTCAATGAAAATCACAGCAGTTACTTGTAATAGCGAAGACAGAAACAATGAATTTCTTCAAAGACCCACATTATTGTCAAAACAATAGAACGAAAGCTTTCATTTCATCTTACCTTCCCATTTTGTGTGCAAGTATTCCAAAAATATTGGTTCCAAGGAGATAAGAGATACTTGCTGGTAAGAAAGCAATGCCTGCGGGTTTATGAAAAGGATACCTTATCAGTGCTGCTACAAGTCACACGTCAGAAAAACTAATAATCACAGACACTGCAGCGATGATTCGAGAAGATGAAATGAAGTCTGGGGCCTGCACCCACACAGCTAATATCCGGTTTCAGTCTGGACCCCACATGGCTTATCTGTCCCAGGAAGCTGCTGAGACGCTCCAGAAATGGAAACCATTTCTCTATCAGTGGCTCCATCTCACCTCCATCTGAGTCTGGTGGCAGCATTACATGCGGACCAACAGAGACAATCTCCAGCTTTGGGAGCTCAGCAGTGGCCACCCGTGTGGTCTGGGCATTTACATATGTGTTCTCATTTTTGCAATTCTTGGCAAAAGGCACAGCCATTGAAAGAATTGGGGGAAACTAGGACCAAGAAAAAAGAAAGCAGTGGAAACAAGCCAAAGCCACCGTTACTTTCCCTGTAAGTTTACACACATGTATGTGTTCACACAAGGCTTTGTCACACAAAGAGGACCATATAACCCCTACTGCTCTATGCCCTGTTTTACTCAATTAACTGTGAACATCTTCCTTTCTTAAGGAAAAAAAAAAAAACACTACTTGGTCATTTTTTTCAAGGTAAAATCGCGATTGACAGATATTTTATGTCCAAGACTTAATGGCTCTCCAAGGGGAGACACTGAACCAGGAGCAACTTCCAGCAGGCAAGGTCAGAAGTTGCCTTGAACATGGCCAGCACTGAACAAAAGGCCCGTCAAGTTAAGCCATGAGGATCTGTCCACTTCAGCTCTACAGTTCATACTAGGGCAATCTCTTGATAAGAGACTGCTTTCCAATTTCTTAATTTCAGTATTTTCCCCTTAAAATCAGATATACTAGACTTGATTCCAAGTCTTGCCCTCCAACAGTCAGAGTTGCTCTGTTTCTACCATCTCTGTGTATACTAGGTACACATGGTGAGTGGTCATCAGTGCTGTCTACCCAAGCACGATTCTATTAAACACTGGAGAAGCTGGCAGAAGCCTGAACCTCTAACACAATAGGAATTTCAGGTTAACGGGTACTATGATCAAAACGCAAAACAGAACCGTGCCAGGACTAGGATTCTGGGAAATGATAGCGGAGAGCAATCGCATGTTCCTGGAAATCATTCCCATCACACCTAGCAATACGCAGAGGCCAAACAGTCACTCAGTATAATCTGATTGGGCAAACATTTACTGACAGCCTTGTGCACAGCACACCACCAGCTTACAACGAAGGCAATGAAAACATGAGTCCTGTCACCATGGAATTGTCTTTGACGGAAAGAATCAGACAGCGTTTGATCTGTGATACGACTTGCCGAGAACATTGTAAGATAGAGTTCTGAGAACCTCAGACCTGCAGCTGGTCACACTCTCCAAAGCAGACGGTATTGAAGCCTGACCCTAGAAAGCCTGTGACAAACCTCAACACTCTGCACACCAGGCTGGGCTGGGTAATAGAAATCATGTTGACTTTGCCTCAGGATTAGTCGGAACCAAAGGCCATGGGTTTTATATACCCATGCAAACTGTGAGAAAAATAACAGCAGGGCAAACAGCCACTGACATAGAGCCTCAGGGTCAAAGGAACAAAATGAAACTGAAGGGACTCTTCAGTGGGAACTCTGAGGACCAGATCCCATTTGACAAGGTAGCTGCCACTCTGACTCATTGCTGCCCTGGAGGACTGCAGTCCAGTGTTAGAGGAGGTGTCCTGCAGGGAAGAAGGAAGTAGATTTTTGTATAAGATTAAGATTAAATGTTAATTTAAAGAACAAAACCAGAGGACCCTTGTGTATATCATCGCTGACTGTACCAGTCAACCAAATACTCTTGACCTTGGCCCACAGACAGACCTTTTTTCTCATCAAAGAAGATAGTTCTGAGGGCCCAGATAGATTCCTGATGTATCAGACTCCGGTTATAACCTCAAGCAGGGACACAGACAGATTCCTCAATCCAGTGAGCAGCCCTACCTTCTCAACGTGCAACGGGCTGCCAGTCTCACACAGGACTAAGAAACGCAATGACCTTATTTTCCATGGGCAGCAAGGCCATTGGCAAACTCCATCATGCACTGGATTAGGAAGTACAAAGCAAGGTGTTCGCTTGAATTTACAACTTGCATGCTGAACTTTGCAAGGCTCAAATCCCTTAAAGCCCTGTGAGAAGCCATTGTTCCCGTCCTGTACACTCAGAAGGGATATGAGGCTCAAGTGCTGCATTGCATCATATGGCTGTGAACAGATGTTTTTCCAGATGACTGACTTCAGACTGGCATGGCTCCCTGCAAATCCTATTTCCCCATTCTCCACCCTGGCCTGCTGGCCTTCCCCAGCAAGCAGGAACCACCTCAGTTTCCCCATAACCTTGCTCCATTGTGGCAGGCAGGAGGTGCCCCAGAGCATGGCTGGCCATCCAAACAAAAGATCCTAGCGGGGTGTGGTAGTGAACGCCTTTAATCCCAGCACTCAGGAGGCAGAGGCAGGAGAATCTCTGCGAGTTAAAGGGCAGCTTGAAGCTCTAGCACAGCTAGGACTACATGGAAAGACCCTGTCTCAAATAAAGCAAAACAGTGGGGTGTGGGGATGGGGGGAGGAAGTTTGTTTGAGGATACCCACTTCACAGAATTGGAGCAACCTCTGTCCCTCAGAAATATGGTTTCCACAGGAAGTCACAGGCAGAAGCTGGTTCTACACCTCACGATTTTCCATCATCAACAAATATGACAATAATTCATTCTAGGGCTCTCCCCACCTGAGTGAGAAGTGTCAGCTGCCCCTGGTCTATACACAACATCCTCTGCCGTATGCATATTGCCCTGACAGGAGTTCCCACAGGCTCCTCACTCATCTCTGGTCACACCAGAAGATCCATTACAGGAACCAGCCCACCTCAGCCCTGAGCAGCAAAACAGGGAAAGGCTTGTACTATATCATGAAACACTGAGGAGTAGATGCTGGACATGGGACCTGAGAGGTGACAGCAGTGAGTCCTTGAGACTCTTCTGAGCTCGGATTGTTTCTAATGGCTGATCCTGGAACCAGAGCCTGACAGTAGGCCTTGTTACCCTGACCTAAGTAAGAGAGGCCTGCAGGCTCAAATCCTGGCATCCCCAAAGTGCACACAGTCAGCAAACCAGGCTAGCACAGGATGTCCTATGATGTCACAACTGGTTAGGACAGAATGGGCTCCCCACCTGGCAAACCCATGCCCCCCACATGACTGTATCACCATCACATTCAAAACAAACATGGCAGAATGACCGGCAAGAAGCGTGGCTCCAACCTTGCCTCACGCTGTTAAACGGGGCCTAAGTTTCCCTTTGGGGAGTTACAGGCCTCACCTTAAACTCAGCCCTAAGCATCATGCTATCTAGGAGAAGTCATTTGGCTTTGAACTTGAGGAGAAAAGGAAACAGAGTTCATCTTCAACAGCTCCAACTCAGGACCTGCTCAACACGTGATAGAGGAAGTACTGGGAACAGGCTCACACTGAAGCCTTCTGGAATAGGCACCTGCTGTCTCTTCGGTCCCTAAAAGTACAGCCAAAGCCCTTTCACGAGAGCAATCACATGTCACTCACATAACTAATAGATATGCTTGGCCCTGACTTCCAGTGTCCCCAAAGATGACTGGGAAACAGAGTGAGCCTGAGGCCAGACTTCTGGGCCAGCTCCAGGGCTAGGACCACTGGCTCCAGGAGCCACTAGTCCCAATCTGTAGAGACCACTAAGAGAACTTTTCCCCTCACTCTGAAGATGAGGCAAGTTAGATTCTCTCCAAGAGACAACCCTACCTCTGAGGCGAATGGCAGGCCGAGCCCCAGGGTGGATCAGCTAAACACCAGGCAATGGCAAGCCTGCATCAGATGATCTTTCGCTGACATCAGGGAGCCTGAGTTCTAGCTCACCGTGGCCCTGGGGCTCCTTGCTGACCTTAAAGACTTTAGAAAGAAAGCCGCGGGCTCTGTCTGGTGAGAGAACAGCCTAAGTGCCCTGCACACGGCCAGGACACATTCAATTAGGGTCATAAGGCAGTTAAGTGGAGACACTGGCAGCATCGACAAGCTTCCCGGTGGAGATGTAAGTACACGTGTGGTGTTTGACCAAGCCATGCCATCCCCGAGTGCCTCCTGAGAAGACTTCAGCTGCAGGGAGCCACAGACCTGAGGGAAGGAGAAGTCGGAGCCTCCCAAAAGGATCAGCTGTGGTCTCCACACAGACAACCTACTCACGCTAAGAGTGGGGGTGGGGAGTGCACCTAGCAGTGACTTTCTCCAGGATCCTGAAGGCTTGGGAATCCACTTTGGCCCTGATGGGGAAGGTCCGAACTGTAGTTTCTGAGCTCTGAGAACCCATCTGCCAGTGACTAGCACATGTGGCCTGTCTTTAGTTTTGCCACAGAATTCACATCCTATAAAATCTACCCTCTCGGTATTTCCAGATGGGTGTTTTTCAGTTATCTTCACAAGGCCGTGGCAACCGTTGTCATGAGCAGGATCCAAAAAGTTGCCACCTTCCTTGAAAGAAACCTCCCACCTGCGAGAAGCCCCTCACCCATATCCTACCCTGGGTTGTTTGAGGCCTTTTAGAGACTGTCTGACAGACAGACACAGAAATCATTACAGAACCTAAAGGGGCTGGTTCTTTGTTGAGAACATGTCCAAGGCATACAGAGCAAGGGTAGGTCCGAGCTACCCTTGCAGGTAGATGGGGTTGGGGGATAGGTGGGTTTGACCTGAGTTTGATCCCATGGGCCCACATGGTAGAAGGAGGCAAGTTGTCCTCTGACTTTCTCACACACACGAGAGAGAGAGAGAGAGAGAGAGAGAAAGAGAGAGAGAGACAGGGGGAATGGTAAATGAAGTGAGAACTAAGCATCTCCATATGAAGATATCCATGTTAGTTGAAGGAACTAAGAAAATAAAATAAATCTTTAACACAGATAATACATATTTAAATAAAATTGCATATGTATGGGGACTAGCTTTTCAGAACACTTTAAAGTTCCAGAGATTCAAGAGGAGGTCATGACATGGGGGACAATGGCAGATCTGTGAAAGAGAAGAGAAAATCCAGAAATGAGCCACTCACTCACAGAGAAATGGAGTTGGGGGATCACATGTTCCCCTAAAGACATAGTCTGGGGATGATAGCTGGTCTCATGGGAAAAGCCTCATTCCTATCCCCAAATTAGAGCAAAATTAATTCCATACAAAGTGCATTAAAGGAAAACAATGGCTATTTAATTTTTAAATGATCTTGGTAAAGGAACGGACCCTTTGAGCTAGACCATGATATGGAAACAGAAGCCTGTCTAATCTGACACGTAGCCTCTTAGATATTCTGAGACATGAAACATGCCCTGTGCAAAGTGAGGATGCCTGATACACAAGGAATATGTTATCAGTAAGAAAAGAACAAACAGCTCAGTACAAAAGTTGACAGAGATTATCAGCAGGAATCCCACACTAATCAAGTGTGGTACACACCTCTGATCCTGGTATCCAGCAGGCTGAGGCAGGAAGATCAAGATGAGGCCAGCTTTGGTTACATAGTGAAAACTCTCTCTCTCTCTCTCTCTCTCTCTCTCTCTCTCTCTCTCTCTCTC